TTCCTCGGACGAGATTAAATAATAGCGGCGATAAGACGTCCCTCTGTTTCAGACCGCATTTTACATTATTTAGACGCATTTATTTTGCATTAACCCTTGGGTTCTTCCACTGCTTCTTTAGTGGGATTTGGAACTCTTCCAGTATTTTCCAAATTTCTTGTCGTTTTACTTTATCATAATCCATTTTGTGATCGATGTAATAAATGAATATCTGGTCCACTGTGGATTATTTCTAAAACTAGCCTGGTAATCTCCTATTATCATTTCTGCCACTGGACTTACCCGCTTATGAATTATCAAAGTATGGACACTTTGTGCATAACCACAAGCAAGGTTATTCCTCCATAGTTCGAACAAATCAGCTTTTTGAATACAGGACAAATTATGCCGGTTTTCCATTGCCTCAAATAATTTATGAATGGCCTTCAACAGCTCCTCTTCTCTGACTTGCATTAGTTCTGTCGGGATTTCATCAACTCCCGAAGCTTTGTTGTCTTTCAGTTCTTTAATCGCCCCCTAACTTCATCTAAGGAAGGTTCCTCAGTGATCATGATGTTCGTTATATCCTTTCCAGCATTACCTCCATTCGCCTCCAGGTCTCCCTCATCGGCATTTGCATTGGTTTCATCAAAGAGCTTCTGAAAGTATTGTGTTGATAATTTCGTCATTGTCGTATACTAGGTATCCTATGTTTCTGCATATGTTGCTTCTTGGCTGAAATCCTGAAATAAAAAGTCCTCGGAAGAACCTTCGATTGTATATTTTATTTGCTGAAGTAATAATTAACTGCTCTCTACCCTGTTTTGCTCTGTATTTTAAATTATGGAAAGTCAGTTGACTGTAAGCGATGGCGTTATGAAGTTCAATTGTGTAATAATCACTGGTTACATACAAAAAGAACCACAACGATTGAGCCAGCTAATTGACTTGTGTTTACGAGAGATTGAAAAGGAAGAAATTGATGCAGATTTAGAAAACTTTGAGATCACAAAGTATCCAAAAAACTTGCAGACGAAGAAGGCCCTGAGAATTGTTGTGCTGAGAACATAATGTTATATTTGCCAAGGCCAAAAGCAATACATCAATACAAAAACTAAACATCCTGATATTCTTGAAAGCTATTAGTATTTGTAGCCTCGTCCGTAGGCAACCTCGGGCGAAGCATAACATCGATACCATATCGATACAGAAGTTGAGCACTTTGCAACGATGGGCAGTTTTATAAAGTCGAGGTCGCTAGCGGTCGAGGCGCTACATCAATACAAAAACTAAACGGTTTTCAAGAATGTCAGAATGTTTAGTTTTTATTTTAATGTAGCGTCTCGCCCGTAAGCAACCTCGGCTGAGGAATAACATCGATACCATATCGATGCAGAAGTTGAACACCTTGCAACGATGGCCAACTTTATAAAGCCTAGATGGCTTGTGGGCGAGGCGCTACATCAAACAAAAACTAAACATTTTTGAATACTATTTTGTTTTTGTGTTGATGTAGCACCTCGCCCGCAAGCAACCTTAATTAGGCATGATGCGTGGCTTAATTAAGCTGAGGTTGCGATACAAAACTTGAATATTTTTCAAGGTTGAGTAACAATATGACAATACCCATATAATAATTCTTCTCATGTTATAGTAGAAACATTAATTAAAAGAAAATGAAATCGAGTATCAGTTCTTGCAAGGAGCAACCTAACGAGAAGATGTTAAAGTATGAGTTAATGTTGAATTATTTTCTAATAAATTATAAATATAATAATTTTAAAACGAAAGGTTAAGTGAATCTTTGACAACATAAAAACATAAATGTTATGTTAAATAAATCATTTTAATTAATTGTTTTTAATATATCTAATCTACATAATCAAATTCGTATCAATTAAAATCAAAATAAACTTTTAACTTTTACCAAACCGGAAATGTCTTGATAAACGGTCGACAGCTGAGAGGATACAAAAACCCTCTCACCTTATCCCGAACACTTGCGCAAGCTCTTCAAAGTATCCGACGGAGCTCGAAGGATTTCTGAAGTGTTTGGGGATTCCCTTGGGGGTGTGCGAGACACGTGATGGTTAAAAATTCAAGGGGCGCTTACTAGGACACTTAAAGGCGTGAATTATGTAATTCATAGCTTAGCTTAGTTTATGGTTTATTTAGATGAGGGGAACTATAAAAGTTTACCTAGTACGGCTATAAACAAACATAAATGGAGCGTTTAAAACGGTGATTTATATTCTAGGACGGATTGTTTGAAGTTGTTTTATTGCGCTTTGTATGCAGATCGTATAGATTTTTAAAGTTTTACATTTTTCTTGATTAATTTAACTAGAACTAAAACACTTACCTGCAATATTAAGGTCGCTTTTATCTAAGACAAAAAGGATTAAATAAAACATATTTTATTACTATGTTGTTTTATCAAGCACATCTAAAATACAATATTACAGGGCTTATATTACGACTTAATGTTAAGAAGGAACTAAAATGAAATTGTTAAAAAAAGTTCATAGAAAAGGGAAAAAGATTAAAAATTAGTACTTAATATAAAAAAAGGAAAAACAACAAAAAATAAGTAAGAGATAGGACGGAATTATAAATATATGTCAAAGAATAATAATAAAACAGAAAAAAAAACAATAATAATAAAATATTTATAGACTTTTCCTTAAAATATTTGTTATCGTCTAAACAACATCCTTAGCTAGAAGATAAGTAATACCACAGCGATTTTTCTCTTCTTATTTACGATATATTTTACATGAAGGTGGTCCAAATTTTACACGGTGAAAAAGAAATTTCCTTTAAAAAATTAATTCGTTAGAGTGTCATTATAAACTTAAATTTGATTCAAACAATTCAAAATTTAAACATTTTTGCGAAGCTGTCAAATTTTAAAATCTTCATTTGACATTTGTATCGTCTTTTTATTTTAGCACTATCCCAAGATGGATTATTTAAATTATTATTATTATTTGAAAGATTTCAACTTAAAACATTGGTTTAACAATCAAAAATGACAAATTAGATGAAAATCTGGGTTGGTGTTTTTGTTGGTACTTTTTTACATCTGTCAATGTTGGTAAAATTACCAGGGAATTTTGTTATGTCATGTTTTGAAATCAATTTGTGTCAAATTAATGTTTGAATTATATAAAAAGATAAAATTTTTGGTTATATATTTAACAAATTTCTTATCTTCAATTATTTAGTTACCGAAAATGTTGCTAGGTAATACCATCATAAACCCTAATAATTTGACGTTGAAATTAAAGCAAAAAAATAAACCGTGGTTGTGGATATTTTTTAATAAATATGTTATAAGAGCTAAACTTTCGACCAAAGTATAACACAAGTTTACAAATTCCAATACACATTTGGACCCGACCAGATGAGAACGTTTATCAACTTAATTTGATGCGCTGAATCCCAAACTTCAATGAGTTTGTCAGGATTGATTCTGGATTTTGAGTTTTTTAATTTGTTTTAAACCAACAGTTTGGTAAAAGGTAACCATAAATTTGGAAAAAACGGTAGTAATTTTGTAGAATGTTTAATAAAAAAATATTTAAGGTGATATGCCATTTGAATTTAAGTTGGTAATATTGACATTTGACAACCAACATCTAACCTAAATCCAAACGTCAATTCAATTTTATTCGAAACGTTGTGATTCTGTTTAGAAATTGGTAAAAATGCAAAAACAGCTTTGTAAAGTGGATTCAAAACGTTTTTGTTGCGTTTTCGGAAGGAACACGCTCGGTAAAAATGGCAAAATAATAATAAATGCGCTAAAAAAACGCGTATTTGCAATACTTTGGTTTTTTTATATCACACATTGAAAAGCTGTGGGTGCCCAGTTTTTGGAGTTTTTTAAAATTGTTTTAAATCGACACTCCGCTAAAAATTAAAGATGAATTTGGAAAAAGGCAAAAGTATTTTTATAGACTGTTTAATAAAAAAATATTTAAGGTGGTATGCTATTTGAGTTTAAGGTGGTAATATTGACATTTGACAACCAACATCTAACCTAAATCCAAACGTCACTTAAATTTTATTCAAATGATGTGATTGTATTTAAAAATTTGTAAAAATTCAAAAATAACATTGTAAAGTGGATTAGAAATGTTTTTGTTACGTTTTCGGAAGGTACATACTCGATAAAAGTGGCAAAATAATAACAAATGCATTAAAAATGCGTATTTGCAATACTTTGGTTTTTCTATATCAGACACTGAGTTTTTTAAATTGTTTTAAATCGACACTACTAAAAAGTAACGATGAATTTGGAAAAAACGGTAGTAATTTTATAGAATGTTTAATAAAAAAAATGTAAGGTGATATCGGTGATATGCTATTTGAGTTTAAGTTGGTAATATTGACATTTGACAGTCAAAATCTAACCTAAATCCAAACGTCACTTCAATTTTATTCAATCATAACGTTATGATTGTGTTTAAAAATTGGTAAAAATGCAGAAACACATTACAAGGTGGGTTCAAAATGTTTTTGTTATGTTTTTGCAAGGTATCTGATCGGTAAAAGTACCAAAATGGTAACAAATACGCTAAAAAACGCGTATTTGTATTACTTTTGTTTTTCTATATTTTTTATTCATTAAATATCTCAAAAATTAGAACCTCTATTAAAAAACGGCTTGTATATTCGGATTCAGCGTCCCTAATTACCTTAGAAATAACATTTGGTTGCTCAGTATGATATTATTTTTTAAAAATATGTTAGTTTATAAATTTCTATATCACTCTAAACATTTTATACTGTATGAATACGTTAGAAAGAAAACCTTTATAAGAAGATATTAATTTGGACCAACCTTACTTACATGTTTGTTTTATTTTAAGAATATAAGCAAAACTGAAAGTTAAACTTGAATCTTAGATCATTCTTCCTACACTAACCAATAAACAATTAAAAAAAACACTTCACTGGTTGTTTCTAATAGGATTTTAACCCGAAAAAATCATTTTTTCGATTTTTTCTTTTTCCTACAAAACCCTTTCATCACAACATTATCTGATTTTCCGTATATCCGGGAAATGAATTTCCATAGTCACTTTCCGTCGGCCAATACCTCGCAGTTGTATCTTGTCTCATACAAGGAGTAAACGACATCGGCGACGGGTAACTTTGTTGATTAAAAGTAGCTGTTGGACTTGTATAAGCTAATTGAGTTTGTGCTATCCAACTCGGAGTATCATATCGTGTATATGTTGGATAACTTGGAGTAAAAATTCCTCTTGGTAAAGGTAAGCCGTGTTGAGGTAAAGGTTCCCCAAAATAACTCTTTGTGTACGGTTGAGCCCTGTAAGGTCTCTTCATCCTTCTTCGTCTCCTATAATTTCCATTTTCGAACATATCTTCGTATTGGGGATCTAAAGTCCAGTAATTTCCCTTGCGTTCACCGCCACCCTCTCTCGGTACTTTTATAAAACATTCGTTCAACGACAAATTATGCCGGATCGAATTTTGCCAACCTTTTTTATTTCGTTGAAAATAAGGAAATTTGTCCGTGATGTACCCGTAAATTTCAGATAATGTTGCACGTTTTAAACCGGTTGAGTTAATCGCCATAGCTATTAAAGCTACATAAGAATATGGCGGTTTTGTTTGAGTATTGTTGGCCGACGGTTGTGGTGATTGACTACTCGTCGATGTTGAGTGATTCGAAGATTTTGATTGATCGGAAATTTCGGTTGATTGATGTGGATTGTAATTTGTTGTTGAAGTTGGTGGATCTAAAAAGAAATATATAATTAATTTCGAGTCAAATTTGATTGTCAATTTAAAAATGCTTTTTTAAAAAGATTTTGTACAGGTTAATTAATCGAACCCCTCTCTTGTTAGAGTATTATTTTACACCCCGAGGGTTAATCATTAGACCAAAATCCAACCCTCCTCATAGAACCATTTTAGTATCACGTGATACTCGCTTGGGTTAAATTTCTCTTGATGGAAGGTTAAGTTATTAACGAGGGATGCATAGCAGAAAAGATCTCTAAAATTGTATGAAATGATCCCAAAATGATACAATTAATAAAATAAAATAATTTTAAAGAGTAATGTTTGTGTTATCTGGTTAAGTTCTTCCTCCTGGTTTCCTTGACCCCTTTCCGAAACCGTGTCAAATGGTTATCAATCTCTCCAAGTATTTAACGAGCAAAATTCATGGTTCGACGAAATCTTCACCAATTTTTATGAAATTCATTTCGTTCCCCCGTGAAATAAACAAACTCAGAGATTGTGATAACTATAATAAATTATCGATTGAACTTTGCAAATGGGGAATCGGAAGCGAAGAAAACAACACCTTTTTTTTAAAGAACGTGGTGATTTTGCGTTGATTTCGGCGCACACGTCACCGTGCTCCGCTTGTCTTGTTTGTCCCCATGACCTCCGACCCTTTGAAAACCGATAAACGACGTCGGCTCGCGGCACTCCGATAACGACATCAATCTAAATTTAACTGAAACAATCCTCCCTATAAACCGCAATTATTTATACATAACAATTAAAATTAATAAAATAAAACGATTATTTTCTAACAAACACATTTCTTATTTTGGTAAATAATACAAGGGAAATGTTTGTGGATTAATTCGCAGCTGTGGTCTTCTTGATAATAATAAGAACTCAAAAAAATAGAAACCAAATCAACAACCAACCTACTCACTCGATTAGATTGAGTGGCGAGATGGAGAGACGAGTGTGAAAATAAACTAAAGAAGAAATACAATCGCGAAAAGCGATAGAAACCGTGAGTAAGCGATAATGGAGTGTTTCCTTTATCTTTGTTTTATCACCAACGCTTTTGTAAACTTATACAACAAGTATATATATTTCTTTGCTTAAATGGATTAATATTAATTCCATTTGGATCAAGATATATCGAGAGAGTTGGGTACAAATTTTGTTTTAGATCTAATATAACGCTGACTAAGCATTAAAAAATCGGTCCTTTGTCTTTTTTTGCTAAACTAAACTGAATACAAATCATGAAGAAATCGTTCAATATTAGTAGGAAATGCTACAAAAACTATGTTCACACTGAATTCTTCGTAATTTTCACTGATTCAAAGTATCTCCATCAAATATGTGATGACCAACCTTTTATGATATCGTTCGCGATACTTTTTAATAGTATCTGAACAACAAAACGTTTAACACAAGTGAAAAAATTGGTGGAAAGTTGATAATATATATTCTAGTAAATCTTAATCAGAATAGAACATGCCTGTCAACGTAAAATATAAATTAGATCTTCAAGAACTGGTTAATGAAAAACGACTTTAAGTACACCTCACGATTTCGACATATTTATCCATGTAGAACAGGGATGAAATCTAAGAATAAGTACGTAGAAGTTAGCACGAGAGTTTCCGAAGCGCCAACGTTGAGCGCAAAAATAGCGAAGATAAGAAAATTGTATCTATCAATCGATTCTTATTGATAAAAGAAGAAACAAGGGTAGTAGTCAGGGAACTAAATTTTGCAGTAGCTCTAACCTGAGTGTCTAAAGAAAAATTATGAGTAGAGACAGCTATTCGCAAAAATCCAATACACAAATTTGACAGCTTTCCTACAGTATGACAGATTGATATAGTAGTCTTGATGTCTTCGAAACAATCTTGTATGGTGATGTACAGAAAGGAATACGAGGACACAATGAACTGGATTCGGCCATCTGCGGAAAAATTAAAAAGAACCTCATGGATAAATTAATCAAGAAGATGAAATAGCTAATTGAGTAGACTAATATACGGCGCAAAAGCAGAAATCCTGCTTGTACAAGCACCAGTTGCTACTCGCCTACAGGTTATTGAAAAAAAAGAACATAAGCCATATATTCGATTGGGAGCTATCGTAAGCGCAATTAAATTCCTTATGTACAGGTCTTTTTCTAACTAACATGAATTATTAATTTGGGTATGATATATTTGAAAACATTCAATGCACAATCCTACTTTCCAAGCTGGACCTAGTCTCGTTTCGATTTTTTTTTTGCCGTTCTCCATGAACCCCCTGCCATGAACACCACATTTTGAACTGTCTGGTTGGCCTATCCTTATTTGCCGTAGGTGGATCGTTTCTAAAAAATGTCTACCAATTAACCGTAGTGGTGACGGTGTTGCTGATGAACATCCGAGTTTTTCTTCAACATTCCCATATTTTTCAATAATTTTTGGAATGAGATCTAATCGAAATTCCAAATGACACTTTAGACATCCCTGTTTTGTATATTATATAACAAAAGAATTCCCAATCTGATCAAGAAGATGTTGAAACATTTTATAGTAATATTTCTTTCAGCGCTTTTTGATAATAGGATAACTTGTTAGATGTTCATCAACTTTGTCAACACCGCCCACAGAATTGTTGTAATCATTGACAAATTTTGGAATTTTTAGAATCCTGCCTTCTTTCAACTTCTATCATTTCTGTGTTGTGAATTGTTGATAAGACGCCAACGTACTTTTTGTCTTTCCATTTCATAACACAGAGTTTTCCTCTCTTTTATGCCGTTACTTCTTCTTTTTACATACAACTTTTTCTTTTGCAGATTTTTCCGCACATCTTTTCTTCAATTTCATAGTAATATTTAGTACTATCGGTTTTAAATGGCAAAAGAATATCTGCAAGTGTCGGAGAAGTATAAAAATTGTCCCTGGCAAGACAGTGTCTAATTTGTGTTTAGATGTTCATCATGACAGGCCATAATTTATTTAGTTCCGCAAAATTCCAGTACCACACTGAACTGCCTATCTGTTAGTCTCTGTTGTGATTAGGTCCAAAACGCATAAGTGGTTAAAGATTGAACATACTATGTAAAATTTATTGGAACGTTTCACAGGATACAAAGAGCTGGAATATCGATGACATAGAATGAACCTAATACCACAGTAAAGATTGCTATTTTGTGATATGAACCGATATAAAGAGCGATTTTGGATGTATCCAAATATTCATTAGATCAGCCACTGGATAGTGAAAGTATCAGATATTTACTATGGCGAAATTGAAATATTAAGTGTTCAAGGTAAAAACAGCAACCTATTGGGCCTTCTAGTATGATAACCAAAAGATTAGCGATTGTTCCTAAATGTATTTCAAAACATGCAGTGTGAAAAATGAACACTAAAGTAGGAAAGATTGATCGACGAAATTAAATTTGAGTTTGGGAAAAGCTCAATCAAGAATATCCGTTTATGAAAGCTTTAGATTGACGCTTGCTTCAACACCTTGCTTCAATCACCTGACAATCTAGGTGATCACAGTGACAATTACGGGGAATGGATCAAGACATCAAGTTAACAGGAAGATATCGACGCTGCCAAGTCAAAACGGTATAAATGCCAAAGTGTTCACTTTTTACTTGGCTACACTGTAGAAGAGAATAACGATCGATGGGATCGCCGAGATTACAGTTGGACCTTAATAGGAAACAGTATTATTTTTGCTCAATAATTTGATGGTTGTTTTGTGGTTTCAGTAGTGTTACTATATTTAGTTGACGATATTTTATTTTTAATCGAAATATAATTTAACTTTTCAATGTGTTGACTTGAAACTTGAAATTGATAACAAACAGCTTTTCCAAGTATTTAATATCAAATAATATCTTCAGGCAATAGGAATTCGATCACATTCCCTAACAAAATCAATTTTCGAGCATTTTGTAACCATGTAAACACTCTTCAAAAGCTCAAGACTTAAGTTTCAAAAATGGATTGAGAAGGAGGTTATACCGTTCTTGAATACTTGTATGTATGTATAGATCTAAACTTACAAACTATTTTAGTAAACACTTTTAGTTGCAGAATAATTTTTGTTTTCTATTTCTCTCTGCTTTCAAGTTATTGAATAAACACAATTGGATAAAGAAGTTAAGATTACACCTCAATACCCTCTATGTTCACATCAAATTTTTCAAAATTTAACACTCGGAAATCTTTTCTTGTCAGTTGCATAGCATATGTATATTTTCAAATAGGAGTACTTGACAATAATTTCTTGGGATATTTCTGAAAAGAACGTTCAACAAAAAAAGTTATTAACATCAAATCAAATTCCTCAATCCCGATTGTTGTCATTAAAACGTCAAATTTGACACAATAAACGTCAAAATAACAGTTTAAAGAGACATTTAATATTTATGCTTGTAAGTAAACATGTTCGCTTTACAGAATTGTAAACCTCATTCATTTGGCAAATTAAATCTGAAAATGGAGAGAATTAAACGTCAAAGATAACATTTTTAATATTAATTAATTCCAATTTGACACTTAATCTTGACGGATAGTAGATATCAGTCAGTAAAAGTTAGTGACGTTCGTTTTTAGATTGACAGTTGTAGAATGAACATAACCTCACTTAATACTTGATGGAAAATATTATATAGTTCGGTCATAAAAATGGTATTTGGGTGGTACCTACAGGTGGTCTTTTTAAAAAACTACGACACTAACAACTAATTTAAAAAAAATAATTGACTTTTAACTATTTAAAGTTTGACGACGAAGTTTGAATGACAGTATAAAGTACAATTTTAAAATGAAAATGAATTGGTGGGTGTTCCAAATTTGGTAACGCCGAGAACGTGACAGAACGACATCGATCGAAACGGGTTCGGGGGTACGCACACAGGAAATCGCCATCAGGCGGAGAGTAAAATAGGCAGATCGTGCGATCGGCCGCGTGAAATTGGCCCCTAATAAACGACCGATATCGGATCTCAATCGATTTGTTTGTCGAGAACGTGCCGCCCCGGTACCGAGTCCGATCTATTCTCGGCCCAACTGCTACGATCAAGAACACGTCAACCAGAGCCCATTTCAAGAAATCCAAAATATCCGTATAATAAAATTTCTTTTACTTTTTATTCTTTTTTAGCGTCCCTCCCACCCCACATGTACACACAAGCGACAATTTTAATCCCACAACACATATTTCAATCAAAATATAATACTTGTTTAATTTTAGACATTTTCAGTTTTATTTTAGTATTTTTTTTTGAATGGGATTAGGTGTCAAAGAAGAAAAGTTGTCTTTTTGTGGGTTGAGCGGTTTTTCTTTTTTCGGTTTTGTTCGTTCTTTTTTGTATTTATTCTCATCGTTGTAAATTAAGATAACGTTCAACTTAAAAAATTACATTTTTATGTCAAATAATAAAATTATAACATCTTCCATCTTCATTTATTTATTTAACATATTTAGATTTATGTTTTTAGACTCTGTAGAATGTTGAAATATCTAGGTGTAGAAATTACAAGCTATCGAAATCTATGTAAGGAAGCACAAGTTACAAGAGACACTATGTGGTGGAACAAATACATGCCATGGTGCGACCATATGGTATCGAGACCATAGCAAAAACAAAGGAGACTAAACAGAGGATGAGGGTGATGGAGATGAAAGTCTTGAGATCTATGTTGAATGTGACACTGCGAGATAGGCAGATCAACACCTCTATCAGAGCAAGATGTAACATACAAGATGTAGTAAACTTGACAAAAGTCAGAAAGAAAAGATGGAAGGAGCATGTGGGAAGAATGAATGAGAGGAGATTCAGAATATGCATGTATGGACGACTGTCCAAGAGATGGGCACAGAGCTGGTTCTCCTCGTCTGCGGAGTAAAGTCCAAACATGAAGCTTGACAAACAGGGATGCATCCCTACCTCGAAAGTAGAAGAAGAAGATTTATGTTTTCTAAAACAACAAAGAGTTCTGTAAGATATTCTTAGATAGATAACTAGTCTTTTTAAATGTCAAAAATTTAAGCTCAAAATAAAATTAAGATGAGATCATCATTATTTACTTGTTGTATGTACTTAATTAGTTTGAAAAATTTGTTTAGAATATATAGTTAATAAATCCAGTACATAAAAAGGTTTTTAAGCGGTATATTTCGTAAATACACCAGGGAACCAAATCAAAATAAACCGATGAGATCAAGTAAATAAACATGTAAGGAGTTTTTAAGCGGCGACACTCTCCGCGCGCTCTTTATTTACTGTTTATTTACAGTCAATTGATGGCGTTATCGGCCGTTTGTTTAAATAATACGGTCTCGGCTTATCGGAAGTCGTTCGGCCGTGTATTTATCGTTTTTGCCTCTCATTCGATACGTGCGAGCCGATAACTCGACAACCATACTATTCGCCAATTGTTATACAACAAGAAAAGAAAAAAAAATCAAATTAAAATCGATTTCAAAATTTGGTAATGTCAAAAACATTTTTTCTGTATCAATTTTTCGAGTAAATCCGTTAACTTAAACTCAATCAAATAACTTTAATATAAACTTGCGTTTTAAATAAAACTACGAAAAACATTTAGATATAAAATTTCAATAAAATTGCATTATGAGAAGTAGAATCGTGAAATTCAGCCGTATTTTGATAAACTGCACTTTTTCAAAATTTAATGTTGCGTCATTTATCGATAGACAGTTTTAAAAATGCTGTTTGTGCATCAGTATCATATAAAAATGCGGGAAGGTTGAGTGTAGGCTATTAGAGTTGATTTCGTTTCCAACATTATAAAAAAAAATTATCTAAAAATGACGGTTTTATGATTAGTTTTGAGAAATATGAAAAAGTTGGAATAAAATCGTTTGTTTTAAGTTTATACCAATTTTAATTTTTGAAATATAAATCATTTTCATTGATTTTTATGTCATATACATCAAATTTAAGAATTTTAGTCCGTGCAATTGATTCTATGTATAACTGTTCTAAATATTCATAAGCTATAAAGTAAAGCATCTATTTTCAGCAGAGACAACCGTTTTGCAAAGTCACTTAGTTTTGGAATAGTTATTTTTGAAGTTGATCTAAACTTACAAACTTTTGACAACTTCTTTTGACCATTTCTAGGATTATAAAGAAATTCATGTACTTTTAATGCAAAAATCGGCAGTTTTTTTGTTTACAGAAATTTTTTGTTTACAATAACTGACAATGTTTTGCGATGATCAATCAAGGTTGCTACGTTGATATTTGGGAGATTGCAGCGCGTGAGAGTTGCTCAACCATTGCGACAAACCATTTATTTCATACTTTTTAGCACCATGTGTGATGATGGTAATATTTATTGTTACAATATTTTGATCGATTTTAATCGATTGGCAGATTAACCTTACAACGTAATGTTCTCCTTACCAGAGGAAACTATAAAATTTATCTATATTTAATAGCAGAAGTAAAAAATCACATGGAGAAAGGTTAAGTTATTATGGTAGGTGCTCTAATTCGTCTCATCCTCAATGCAGCAATTGCTACTATGTAATCTTGTGTTATCATTGGAAATTCTTACAGTGTTTAAAAGATCATGATTTCTTTCCTTAATGGATGGCAATTGCTGCTATATAGTCTTGTGTTATCATTGGATGTGACAAGAAATTCAGAACAGCAATGTTCCTTGTATCATAAGCGATTAATTTTCTATAGGAAGGATTCTGACTGAATTTCTACCTTCCTGTTGACCCTTTTTTACCATGTGCAATAAACTTTGAATTCATGCTCGCACACTTTGGCTAAAAATTCATCACCTTGCATATCACATGCATTTTTGAATTTTCGTCAAAGCATGAAACCTTCTCCAGCATCTTCTAACTACGAAATTCATTGAGTCATGCACAAACCGATGGTCTCTGTGTTACTGACAATTGATTACTTTTGCTTATTACTACGCTGCCCCGATATGGAACTACGTTCTGTACATCAGTATTCATTAAGTATCCGATATAAGCTCGCAGTAAACGACAGACTATCTCTACAACTATCTAACAAGTCATATCATTTAATTAGCTCGGAGTAACTATCTCTAGCAATAGAAATATCATAAACGAACAGCGCACAAAATAGAATAAAGTTGTAAAGATATTTGCATGCTTATAGAACGAAATATGGAAAAACCATAACTACTAAGGGTAAAATAAGTATTTCTAAACTGCATTTGATAGATTTTTTAATGCAACCATTTATTTTGGGATTTTGAATATTGTCGCTTTATTCCTGAAGAACTGTGACTTCTAGGCAAAAATTGGTTATGGAATCTTCTATTTGGTTCAATTTGAAAAAATTTCTTTTATAGCATTTGGTAGATTTTTTAATGTAAACCATCCATTTTAACATTTCTGGTGATTACACTTTATCTCAATAAAAACTGCTTATTTTTTATGCAATGTGAGCAATTTACATACATAACATATTTCATAGTCGATTGTAGCTTTGGATTTCATCAAGGTTTACAAAAAACCATTGCAATAGATAGAGACTAAAATACACCAATTTTGTAACTCATGACCAACCCTTTCTGCACTATATCATATACGCATGGCCGACGACAAAATAATCTTAATTTGATTTTGAGTATCTTTCGCATTCTTCTTTGATTTTCCATAAAAAACACCTTTGTTATGTTAAAATCGGAACCGTTGATGTTAGAAAGAGGAAAATATGGGAAACTGAAATAGAGTACCTACTAAGTCTGATAAGATAGATAGACAATACTAATAAGCCTATGTATACAGGGTGATTTATTAGCTCACCATCAAACTTTGACATATGATAGCTAATCCAATTACCAACAAAAATGTTAATGAACATATGTCCTATTTCAATTATTTACGAAATTATAACACTTCAAAGTTTTCTGCAGCGAGTTTATTAATAGTCAGTCAAAGTTGTCATTGTAATATGTCAGTTTGCTATAAGGTTTAATTATTACATACAAGAAGAAACTCAAAATGTACGCTTATAGCACTGAAGAGTATCCTGATATAATTTTCGTGAATTGTTTTTGCAATGGAAATGCTCGATAATCAGAACGAGAATATCAAGACAGATTTCCACAGCGTCATCTGCCATATTATTCAGTTTTTAGCGATTCTTTCAGAAGACTTCGAGAAACAGGTAATCCTGCTCCAGCAAAAGCTATTCGACCGCATGTAGTTAATGTAGAGGACGAAGAAGCTGTAATTAGTGGCGTCATTGATAATCCTTCCATCAGCACTCGAAGAATAGCACACAACATACATGTAGATAAGTCAAAATTTTGCATGTCCTTAATCCGTATCGTATACAAAATGTTCAAGCTCTACAGCCAGGAGATAACGGTTAGCATTTTGTGAATGATTATTGCAGCAACATGCCCAAAATAATGACTTCATTTCAAATGTTCTCTGGACAGATGAATCATGTTTTACATGAGATGGCATAAATAATTACCTTAATGAACATATCTGGGCATTACAAAATCCACATGCGATTAGACCAAGATAATTTCAACAACGTTTCAGCATCAACGTTTGGGGTGGAACAAGTGGATTGGTAATAATGGTCCATTTGTTTGGCCACCTAGATCCCGAGACCTTAATCCATTGGATTTCTACTTATGGGTTCAAATGAAACAAATTGTGTATCAAGTGAAAATTAATACACGAGAACAGTTATTAAACAGAATACAAATGGCTGCTACTAAAATAAGAAATCAACCAGACATTTTAATTCGGCTGAAAAACTCTTTCATTCGTCGTTGTGAAGCATGTATACCAACAGAAGGAGGCTATTTTGAACAATATTTGTAATATTTATGTGTTTTAAAAAAAATGTTGCAGTTAATTATGATATAAAAATTAAAAGTTGAAAGTGTTATAATTTCGTAAATAATTGAAATAGGACATATGTTCATTAATATTTTTTTTTTTGGTAATTGGATATCATATGTCAAAGTTTGATGGTGAGCTAATAAATCACCCTGTATAATCTATCATGTATATTATTGATCAATATCTATTTAATTATACATACTGCAATGGAATGCAAAGAGATTCGTCTTTTTCCAATCCTTCTACATACAATTTTGAAAAAAATAGGTTTCATTAAAATGAAAAAAAAATGAAAAATGTGAATGAAAAAACAAGGCAGCGTATTACAACGTTGAAACAGTTTTTGCAAAATTAAAGAACATCGCATCCACAAGAAATATTTTATCTTGATGAAGTATGGATAAACGCTGGAGTACCAGAACCAAGGTATGGAAATATTGGGGTGTTGGCTGCGCCCGGCAAGCCCTAGTAGAAGGTTTATTCCCAAGTTTTCTCGATTCTTCTGGGAATGACAAGCGCTTAATTATTGCTCACATTGGTAATTAAAAATGGATTTGCTACAGGAAATTGTTGTTGTTTGTTGCTACATGAAAAAAATGTTGCAACATCCGCGTAGAAAAAAGGAGAAATTATCGCTTTCCTACAGTACCAGAAAGGGCGCTTAAACTTGACTTATTTGCCAAAACTACGGAATTTAATGTCACCACGAAAAAGCTTTTAAGAACTAGTAAAATGAGAACTCCAAGAGCCATAATCGGCTATACTTTATGTGACAGAGAATTAAGCGAAAACATCAAAAACACATATGTCATAGAAAACGTTGGACATTGGCAGGTGGGCCATAATGAGGCACATAGTACTATGTAGAGGGACTTTGGGGTTTTTATTTTCCTTTTTTCAACCACGGTAACATAAATTTCTATATTTGTTAATGTCCGTAATTTGACTTTATAAGTGATTGTGTCTCTATTAAAAAATGGAAAATTTACATAACTTCATTTTCAGCTATGTAAATACACAATTATAAATAAATATTTAAATAAGTTTTTATACAAATACCAAATAACATTTTTATAACGTTTTATTATAAAGTTTTGATATACTTTCAATCATGTGGTTGAGTTTATTGTATTTTATGAGGTTTTTGTAAGACAAGAATAAACAGAGAAAGTATTCCTTTGTTATTTGAGCCACGATGCTCCCCCAAAAGATTCCTCCTTATAAAATTATGAACTTTAGAGAATAATTTGTTTATACTTTAAGAAATTTTGGCTTGATTTCTACATAATGGTAACAGTTTGGCTCGTATTGATTATGTTTTTTTGCTTCGATATGAACAATTTTTATGTATATTGTTCGATTTTCTTTTTCAGTTCTGCTTAATTTTTTTTTCAATGCAAAACCATCTATTTCAACATTATTGAAGATTTCCCTTCAACTCGTTATTATGCTTTCCTGGTTCATTGCAATAATATGTGTGAATATATTGTATAGCAATATTTACAAATAAAAATTTTATATATTTTATTTAATTTTACTTACTATGAGTATGTGTTGGTAAAGAAATGATAGGTGCTAAACTGCTGTAGTTAATATCCGGTTCCGTTTTGATTTTGGGTAGATCAGGTACACCCGAAAGAATCTCCTGAAAAAGAAAAATCGGTTTTATTTAAAATTTAAGGAATGTATCCTTGCAACAATGTATATTATTTTAATTTTTTTTCAATGTAAGCAAGGTCGATTACAACTCGATGAGAACGCATCGTCAGCAAATGGCCCAATTCGAACAAACTCGGTCACCAAATATACCTAATCGAAAAATATGCCTAGCTAAGAAACTTTATTTTTTTTATTGTGCAATCACTTTGTTGCGACATTTTTTATTCATCAGTCATATTAATAATTAAAAATCTCAATCAACTTTAACGATTAAAATGTAAAATTTTCTACGTCATAATAAGAGCATTTTTGAATTATCTAAAAAAAGAAGTGATGAAATGTGTTGGTGAACGAAAGTTTATTATTATTTTTTTTCTAAAAGGAAAAGAAGTGAGGGCGTGGTAGAGTTTTGACACGTTTAAGACTCTCGGGGCGAAGTGATTAAGCAAACAATACGTCAGCCGCCCGCTCGGTCATTAAGTACTGAAATTTATGAACGTCCCTACTGCGTTCAAATTTTTTTTTTAATATTTATACTTCACGACACCGACGGCATCAAATTACTTCTTTATTTTAGAAGGAGAACGACGACGATTGTACGAGCTACAAAGCTCGAGTCAGACTTTGACATTCTGATTCATCTATAAAATATTTTATTAAAAAACCAAGTCTGAAAATATCTATATCTAGACTATACATACATTTTGAAGAACAATTTATTAGAATCAAGCCAATTTAACAAGATTCTTTATCGTCTTTAGCTAAAAGATAAAAGATTTGACCATGTTGGGTTTTTAAACAAGAGGACTATCTATATTGTCTGCCTAAGAGATCATTTTACAATTTAATCCAATTTTCAAAAGGTCATCAATCTAAATTAAGAAAAAAACTGGGCCCAGAACTGTACACCACAGGATAGTTTTCCATGTGAGCTGTAACTAAAGTTTATTTTTACTCTCTGAGTTTAATCTTGTAAGTAAGATTGAAAAAGCTGAAGTGGAAGACCTCTTATGTCATAATGCTCAAGCTTAGCCAACAATTGCTTATGATCCACTGTGCCAAATACTTTACGCAAAGCTAAAAATATTGCAAAAAACATATTTAGACAATTCTGCGATAGCATCTGATGTACCTCTGTCTTCCCTAAAGCCAAATTGGGGACTTGGTAAGGTCTTAAAACGCCCTAGAAAACTATTTAGACGACGATAAAGAATTTTCTCATTTTTCACAATTCAATGGTCTCTTTCAATTTGAAAAAACAGCTACCAAGAACTATCCATATCGAAAGAGCCGAAAAGATGCAAACTGGCGATACCTATATAATAAAATGGTGGAGCAGATCATGCGTTTTAAATATGTTGGCGTCAGCATCACAAATAATAGAAAGACCGCTTCGAGGAAGTCAAGGCTCGGACAACCAAAACAGCCTTAAAATCATTCGAATAGCAGAGATGAGATCCATAGTAGGCTAACATCCTGAGGTACCATAAGAGAGACATCAGAGAACTCTGCAGTGTCCAAAATATAGTCCAAGATAGGTCCCGAATACCATGTTGAGCGTATGGATGATAGCCAAAAATTGCAAGGTATCCCAAGATCAGAGTTCCTGCCCGCCCACAAGGTGGTATGAAAGCTGGATTATAAAGTACAAGGCAAAGGCCTTAAAAAGAGGAAGAAGAAGAAAAAGAAAAATATTTTGATTGGAATTATAAATTTATTATCTTATAAATTAATATTTGTGTGTATGAATAAACCTTTGTAGTTTGAGAACAAGAACAATAAAATCAGTCACGGTCAATATGCCGTTTTAAAATAGTCAAAATGTTTATAAAACTAAAAGGCAAATATTTTTAAAAACAAAGTCCCCATTGTACATATACCTATTGAGTTTTCGTGATACTGTTAACAAACCAATTTGTGATTACAAAAGAAAGCCAAACGTTTAAAAATAAAGAAATCAATCCAGATATTTGAACCAACTCGTATTATCTAAAAAGATGTTTTATTAACTAACCAAGTATTAAATTACAGTCGTTATGAAAGAAACATCGTCACACAGCTTGTAAGAACGTTTTTAATGTAATTCTACACCTAAATGCTCAATAAAATCTTTGTGTTTGATACTTCTAACTAAAAAAAAAATCTAATCAGCAAATTTTTCATAACAATCTTTCTCGCGCAATAAATTAATTTTTACAAATTAATCTGTAAATATTTTCGAATGACTGTAAATTATATTACAGCACAATGTTAGCTGGATATTTTACGAAACATTTTGGCCGGTTCGTTCGAGTTCGAATTATGAAAGTGTTAAAGTGTCTCGTCGCGTTGATTTATACGGCGCGATTAAAATAATTCTGACGTTGTTGTTGTTCCACCGAATTTCGCAAGGTTTAAAACGAATTAGATGCATTTGTTGCAGATTAACGGCGGACAAGAACATCGTCCGCCGTAAAAGTATCTTACAAGTGGCGGTGTCGGCGACGACGGGAAAATGAACACGTTATAATATCGCGAAAATTGCAATAAATTCACGTTGACCTCAAAAGAAAAGTACACGGTTTGCAGTTTAAACAAGTGTTCTTCAAAAACGACTCTGCAACTTTTATTGGAATCACACTCATTGTTCGTAACCGTTTTTTTTTCTTTCTTTCTTGGAAATTAACATGTTTCTATCAAATTACATTGGTTAGCAATTACGAAGATGGTCACGTATTTATAAGGTTTTTGTCTTTTTAATCTCTGTTTTTTAGTTAAATTTAGAAATTTTATTACTAACCTAAAATCCAATAAGAATACTTAATATTTGTTTTATTAAAATATCATGGTTATAGCACTAAGAATATAAATGACTACTGTGAAGGCAAAGATTAACCGACCTTAATCTAGAAATGTAACAAGGCAACAAAGAGTTATTATAAGTATGATTTATGAGTAACTTCGTGCTTAGGTGGAGTAATAAGGTCCATATTTCTAATTTTAACATTAAAAAAATTAGTTCTGAAAGAAATTTTGTGACACAAGATAACATCAGAAGCTTATGGTAAAAAAAACCAATTAACGCAATTTCATCTGTTTTCATATTGGACCAACCAGTCCAATATAGAATAGTTGCCACATGATCATAACTTTTGGAGATTTGGGACTTAACCAAGCTGTAAAAACAACACCGGATATTAATACGCTAAACCACAACCTCCACACTGAGATAAAGAAAATACAAAGCACAATTCATGTTTACATTACAGTTAGAAGAAATTTCCACTAAGCTATAGCATTGGACACCAATGTGTACACAAAATCAAAGTCCTTTTTCAAAATGTTATAACAATAAAGTCCAATTATTATATAAAATTGCTTCATAACTTACATTATGTCATCATTGAAATAAATTACTGCAAGGCTAATGTCAAGGACAGTTTTGCCACTGAAAACTTAAACAGCATTACGTTTAAGGTTTAGTTTTGAGGTTCACTCAAAATCCAACCCAACTCAAAGTTTTATACCCTCAAAACTTCGTTTGCTATTTCTGGATCATGCTAGTAATTGATGTGGTCTAAGACCTTCCGGACATAAATGATGTTGAGTTATCTATGTATGGCTAGTTCATAATAAATAGTAAGTTCATCAATGCATTCTACCGCCTATTTTTTTAGTTTTCACAAAATTTTCGAACCCCATTCTATTCTTGTGGAAAGAATGAATGACAATGGATGTGGTGGATGCACTTTATCATATACATTTGAATTCCTCTTAATTATGCTGAAATGTATATCTCAGCTTTAAAAACCCCTATCTTATAAATCGTACTTTTACGTACACTTAAACATCAATTACTTTTCTAGTGTATTCCGGTCAGTGTTGTTAAATACCCGGGTATTTATTTTCAAGGGTAAATTTCCTGGATATTTACCCAAGATGGGTATTTAGTAGTATTTATACAATTTAATTTAAATTGAGTTGATGGTAGTTTTGCAAGCACTTCAAGAATGCAGAGTCGATTATCGATACACCAAACTTATTTATAACAACTGCAAGAATGCGACAATGACGGTAAAATTGCATGAAAGTACTGAAAAGAGTAGAAGTAGTAAAGTACTGATTGTAAGTAAAACAAGGCGTTGAACCCAAATTGTTCATTACAGTCCTCAGAGTGCATTTAAACAACAAAATTGGACCCAAAAAGGCATAAACATTGATTGTAATTTGCGCTACGCGGACGATATAGTTCTTATAGCCTTGGCGAGATTAAACTAATGCTGAACGACTTAAAGGAGGTGTGTACAAGAGTCGCGCTAAATATCAACTAGGAGAAATCAAAATTTATGATAAATCTTGTTCCCAGCTCTAACATCAACATTGTACTATATCTTGGCTATGAGGTTCGTGTATCGAGAGATAATCAAACAAGCGAACTAAACAGAAGGATCACACTCGTATGGGCAGCCTACGGGAAACTTAGGGACATCTTCAAGAGAAAAGGCCAAGAAAGGCATTCAATAATGCGTGTTTCTGGTTATGACATAAGGCTCCGAAACTTTAACATTAACGGTAGCCACTGCCAGGAGGGTCCAAGTAACGCAAACATAGATCGAGAGGTCGATCCTGGGTCTAACTCTGAGGGACTACATACGAAATGAAGACCTATGAAGAAGAACTGGCATGAATGATGTGGTCAACATTGTGGCAAAGCTTAAGTGGAACTCGGCGGGTCATATCGCGCGAATGAAGAATAAGCAGTGGACAAAACGGTTGCTTGAGTGGAGACGGTTGCAGACAGCACAAAATCTATGTCCAACAATGGACGCAAAGGGCTGCGTGATGATAATAATCATAATAACTTGATCTAATCTAAATTACGACAGATTCGTCTAATGATAATACGTCTTTAATTGTTGATAATTCCTCGCCTTCAACAGCCTCATCATCTTCCTCTACATTTTTTTTGGAATCTGATATATTCTTACTGGTATCACTTTTATACCC